ATGCCATTTCAAGGTCCTTTCTCGAGACAAGGTTGGCATAACTGGGTTCTCTGCGAGCACTTCATGCCAGGGGCGAATCAAACTTTCAGCTGATCCTGCCTTCAATATCAGCGGGACGCAATCTGAGATCACTTGCGACTCGCTTCCACACCTCAGGCTAACATTGCAGAGGGAAGTTCTGACAGGTGACGAATCGGAAGGTGAAGACAGTTCGAGAAAGTGAAAAAAATAGATCAAATAAAAATAGATGAAATACATAAAAAGGGTATAGAGACAAAGTAGAGTCGACGTAGGAAGGAGTGTGTGACCATGAAAGACTGGATGAGATCTAAATAACGTTAGGCAGACATTAGCAGCTTGGTGCAGCTTCTTTGGAGGAGAATCCTAGCTGATGGATCCCATCATATAACGCGGAACACCTGGAGAATAACGGAACTGGAAGAATTGCAGAAGTTGGAAATATGAAGAATCTACGAGCAAGGAAGTCTACGCATCCATCTAGAGAATCGCAGATTTTTCAGCGAATTCACTAGTCCTTCAATTCTGGAACATAATCTCTGTTTTGAAAAAAAAATCCACACAATTTTCAATAAGCTACATTTTTTAACTTTAGTTATAAGAAGACAGGATGATATGTCAAATGGAAGCTATGGACCTGGAAAACAGCGGTATGCTCTATGTTCTCCGGATTTTTTAGCCGATTTTTGGTCGATTCGGCGGGACGTTGGGCAAGAATCGTGCTGAGCTTTTTCAATTAGAACTTAACCTTTTTGGTCGGCTGTTCGGCTGACACATCAATCACACTTTCTAAGCTTGCCCAAAATTCCTCTATCGGCCCTGTCTAAATAGGACTCAAACTCCAAGGACCGGTCGCAATCCACATCTAGACCCTGCCCTCAAACCTCCTCTTTTAGTATACGCTTGGTGGTTTCAGGACTTGTGTAACGACCATCACTTCCACAGATACTAGTTACTGTTTCAAAACTTCGAGATAATCCCTGCCCATCCTCCCAGCGAACCGACCGAGAAACAGGGCACATCATCGCTGGGGATCCCCCAACAGGGAAGTCGTATTTGATTGCTGGGAAGGCCCTCCCCTTGACTGCTCGATGAGAAGGGAACGATTGAGGTCGTTGTATCAAGCCACCTCATACGGAGGGGGTCGTACGACTCGACCAAAGTCCCTGACTGATGATATGCCTTGCCAAGGAAAGGTTAGACAAAGCCTGGCGAAATGCCGCTATCTGAAACAACTAAGTCCACCTTCGCATATCCCATGTTTCCACTTTCATTTCGAGTACCATATTTGCTCTCCTGTATTAAAATAATAAAAACTTCACTAAAAACTGTACAAAATCTTTCTTTAACAGGTCACAAAAGCTACTTTACCTCCCTCACTTTCTGTTGCGGAATTTCTCGCTTCCTCTGCAGCTTCTCCGTCACACGGTTGCTGTTCCTAAAGAATGCATATATCACAGGCCACCTTCATGCAGACGATTCTGAAGAAATGGTGAAACTACGGATAGAAGGAAGAATGCGTATCTATTCGACACTGCTTCGGGAAGATGCAGTAGTGCAGAATGCGAAGAAATGCCAAAATTTCCACTTGGTAGTACTCCCAGTGGGGCGGCTGAGTGACAAATCTTATCAACTCCCTACTCCGTCATTTGGGCATCTCTGCAAATTCTGCATTTCTCCAGACTCCGCGGTTCTTCGAATCGATACATATACTTTCTTCTATCCGCAGTTCCATCATTTCTTCAAAGTCGTCATGTATGAATGCGGCCTTACTTCGATTGTGTCGGTTTAGGCTTAGAACGACCAGCCAACCCATTTTACTTTTCCAACTAACCTTCTTCTCGTGTGACTTCGGTGATGATGCTTCTCCGATGTTCAGGTTTTCTACAGCTCGTGAAAGGTTGTGCTCAGAGGAAACTAAAAATGAATCGATTCAAGGGCACGTCGACAATAAGAGCACTTCTGAGATGACACTGCTTCATAGCAGCCGCTTGACATTTTACTGAACGGCGATCTATCAGGTGGGCCCGGGTGCCGATTACTACCAGCTTTTCTAGTTCAGGCCGCGTTCTTACATTCCGACACCTTATGACAGCAGATCAGGACGGAAGAATGGAAGAAGGCGCGAATCAGGAGGCACCGACGGGATAGAACAAGCTCCATCCACTCCTGTTCTCCAAATCTCCTATTCTCCCCATTGCCTAGCGACCATATGCAATCCATTCCCACCTCTCCCTCTAGCGCGCACTTTTCCGAGTAGCGTCTTTTATGAATTCTTCTGTTCCCGATGCGCCAGACCGCTACTCACACTTTTCCTTGGCGCGTCCTTCTAATCTCAGGTTTCCCTGATCCCTTAAACCACGAACAGAACACAGCGCTCGCTGTGAAAAAAGGGAAGTGAGGGGTCAATTTAGCCCCCGGGGAGAGTAGTCGTGATCGATTTCGACAAAAATTTTATTAACATGAATCAATGAACTTCATTCTTCACCATCTTGTCCATTCAGTGATGTCATCCCTTGACAGTTAACACGACCCTTCCAAAGAAACCTATAGTTTAAACAGATAAGCATCGATAGCCTGTCTCCTGTCTCAGAATTCGCACTCTCACCTCAATCATCAACCCTCAACCCAAGATCACTGAATTTTTCCTGGTCCCTGGAACGCCCTGGAACTTATTCAACGCATTTCGAGAATTTTGTCCCGTACAAATCTTGACAGGCTCCACTCACTGCAGGTTTTTCGCATCTTATACCACCTCACCAATACCAGCAATGCCGCACACTAGGTTTGGAAAACCGTATCTTCAAAAAGGAAATGATATAAATAGTAGGCCATCTTTTTGACGCGGGTCGAAACGGTTTTGAGAGGCTAAGGCTCCGCTATAGCTGCAATGAATCAGCTGCGTCATAGGACACCATCCAGTAGCGACTCG